ACCTTTGTCTGACTTGTACTGTCCAAAAATTTTTTCCCAGTCTGTAGGTTCTCTTTTTACTCTTTTGGTGAAGTCTTTTGAAGAGCATAGGTGTAATAGTTTGCTTTTGAGAGATAGTATTATATATCCTTTTGGACCAACTTGAAAGAACCATACTTAATAGAATTATTAAAACAAATCATTTGTTGAGTGCCTTTTTCAGGTTTATACGACTAACGTCTATTTTGGAGTTCAGCAGATGAAATTAAGGAGCCCTGGTGGCACAATGGTTAAAACATTCGTTGCTAACTGTAAGGTCGGCTGTTCGAACCCACAAGCTGCTCCAAAGCAGCTCCATTGGAGAAAGATGTGGCAGTCTGCTCCCATAAAGATTTACAGCCTTGGAAAACCTGTGGGGCAGTTCTGCTCTGTCCTGTAGGGTTACTATGAGTCGGAATCAACTCAGTGGCAGTGGGTTTGGTTTTTGGTTTAGTGACACAGTGGTTAAGTGCTCGCTAACCAAAAGGTTGATGGTTCAGACTCACCCAGCAGCTCCCCTGGAGAAAGACCGGGCGATCCTGTAAATATTACAGCCTAGGAAACCCTGTAGGGCAGTTCTTCTCTGTCACATGCAGTCGCTATGAGTCGAAATCGACTCAATGGCATACAACAACAGATGAAATTACTCTCAATCTGCTGGAATTATCCCTACCGAAGAAGAAACGATTGTTGTAATGCTGTGTGGTTGAATGAGCTTTTCACTCATCAGTAATGATTTGGGTTTCTTTAGTTTCTCCTGCCTGAGATACGCATGGAGTCTTGGTGGCGCAGTGGTTAAGCATTCGGCTGCTAACCGAAAGGTCGGCAGTTCAAATCCACCAGCCGCTGCTTGGAAACCCTATAGAGCAGTTCTACTCTGTCCTATAGGGTCTCTATGAGTCGAAATCGACTCAAGGGCAACGGGTTGTTTTCGTTTTTTTTTTTTTTTTTTTTTGGTAAGGTACACATTGGTACAGCAATGTGGCAAAATATATACTCCTTGTTGCCTTTTATAGCTTAAGCCCAGATTTGCCAGGAGTTCATTGTAATTCAGGAGTTTGGTGTGTCTTTTACTGAAGAGATAATAGTCTGGGGGAAAAAATCTGAATTTAAGTTTAATTCATGTCCATTTGTTGTGTTGTCTCAGTAACTTATGTTTCAGTGTGTTTATTTTTCTAGCAATCTGTCTTTGTTTTCTATCAAACAGATGCATGTCCGTCAGTTTTTCTCTCTCATTCTGGGCCAGGTGTGGTAAAAAATAGTTTCATATTACCTGTAATCTTGTAGAATGTAGTTAAACTAGAGTTCTTCAGAAAAGAAATGTGAGTAAAGTACATTCAGTCCTTACAACAAGGGAAGTTGTTCAGGGAAGTAGAGATCTTTGTTTCACCTTATTGAGTATATCATTTTATATGCTGGCAGTGACCTGGCATTGGGGTATAACACTGAATAGGATATTCTCCTTGCCTGGCTTTCAAGTAGTTCAAAGTCAGTTAACACTGTAGCACTTGGCACAAGGAGGAGAGGCCCTAACTCAGCTTGCCTGGTCGTGGAAGGCTTTCCAGGGAAGATTGGGACAGCAATAGGCAGAAAAGAGTGAAAAGAACGTTTCAAACAAAAGGACTTTTACATTTAAATGCAGGACAGTAAAAGTGTGGTCCATATAGAAAATTGCACATAATCACGTTTCACCCAAACACTGACGTTTAAGGGAAAGAGGAAGTGGAATCATCAAAGGTATGATACTTGAGTTATGAGGAAAACTAGGAGGAAGATATGCAGTATGGTTAGAGATCGATAGCTTTTTCTAGTACTTAACTTTATTAGCTGCCAGTTAACATAGTTATGTGTAGCTTTGACCAAATGAGGTCTTTGGTTCAAGAAGTTATCCCTGAATAAGAGAACCGGTAGAAAAACGATTAACCAAAACCAGATTTTATTTTTTATTTTTGGATCTTATGTGTTTGCTCATTGGAGAACTAGAGGAAGGGAGAGCCTTGCCAGAAATCCTGGTGTTTACATTTCTTCAAATTATCATTCTAATTGATAAATACCTTGAGGCTGTAACATTAAGAGAATCAGTTGGAAGCAAACATGTGAAAGGATGTGCAAATTGTTTTGTGCAGTAGAGTCGATACTGACTCATAGAGACCTGTTTTAGTCATCTAGTGCTGCTCTAACAGAAGTACCATGAGTGGATGGCTTTAACAAAGAGGAGTTTATTTCTTCACATCCAGTAGGCTACAAGTCCAAATTCAGGGCATCAGCTCCAGGGGAACGCTTTCTCTGTCAGCTCTGCAGGAAGGTCCATGTCATCAATCTTCCCCTGGTCTGGGAGCTTCTCTGCGCAGGAACTTCAGGTCCAAAGGACACGCTCTGCTCCTGGCACTGCTTTCTTGGTGGTATGAGGTTCCCA